AAATGTTTGGTCACATATTTTATCATCTGTGTGCACTGCATACATACAAACTGTAAAGCATCCGGTAGAGTCACATATGTACTCCGTTATTTTGTAACAGTTAAAATAATCTTTTTGGGTTTTTCATATGAAAAGAAATTGTACATTTTTTTATGTTTTTCAAGTTAAAGGATGCAAATTGAGCTTGAATTAGTGGGTACGAAAATAGAAAATAGTTCCTTTTAAAATAATTCAAAAAGGTGCATGGATGGATTAGCAGGGTAAATTGTTTCTGACTTAAAATTTTGTTTTGTTTTGGAAAATGTTAATATTTTGAATGAATCGGAAAAGTAAATTACCTCAAAACCTCTATTTATAGCCCTATTCTAATTATAAAATAATAATATTAATAATAATATAATATTCTATCCAAATATAATCGGGTCCAGAGAGCACAATTTAAAAATTTTAGCCGGGTCTTCTCTAATTAGATATAGCCTCTTTTGTCTAGGGTGACCATATTTGTCCTGACTAAAACCGGGACATTTCTTGGCAAAAATTATTTCTATAATATCTAGTGCTTGGCGAAAATTTTTTCCATAATATCTAGTGCTTGGCGAAATTTTTTTCCATAATATCTAGTGCTTGGCGAAATTTTTTTCCATAATATCTAGTGCTTGGCGAAATTTTTTTCCATAATATCTAGTGCTTGGCGAAATTTTTTTCCATAATATCTAGTGCTTGGCGAAAATTTTTTCTATAATATCTAGTGCTTGGCGAAAATTTTTTCTATAATATCTAGTGCTTGGCGAAAATTTTAAAACTTGCATGTTTCAGTCCAATACTTTTCTCTGAGATTTATTATGGAATTTATGCAACATGGTAATTGTAAAGCACAAATTCAGGAATTTATTGCCACCAAAACGAAATAAATCCATTTTGTATTAGCTGCAAATTTGAAGCTAGAGTCGGGAATTTTCATTTTTTCTGGTTCGCGATGCCCCGTTTTGTGTGTGGGAACGGTCACTCTCAAAACCCAAAGCAACTTTTTACATGCAACTGCCTGCCTTTCTTACATGAAAATCAGCTGCTCCTTCGCCCCGCCCCCCTCCAGAGAAAAAAGTCTCTCGGCACACAAGGAGACGCAACCGTCGTCTCTGTCTTTTAGTTATGAGATTTTTTCAACGTATATGCCTTCTTAAATCACCCCTGAACTTGTTTAATTGTTAAAAATTGAGCATTATAAGAAAATATATCAAAAAATTAAGCCAAAACTTCAAAAAATAAAGTCATTTTTATGGTCATATTTTGGGGATTTTTACGGTAATTTTTCATTCATATTTTGAGGTTTTATCGGTCATTCATATCCGACGTCTGGTGATATCAATTTAAAATATCGTTCTTCGGTTTCTAATCGGAATAAGAAGTCATAATTTTATTTTGTTAATCAAAACCACAATAGAATTTTCCAATTTCGCCAGATAAGAACTAGCGTTTACAAATATACCGCATAGGTTTAGTAGTGCTGTCAACCTCGAAGTAACTGTAGAATCGGCTGATATGGTGTATTTTAACTCGTAACAATGAACTACTATTTTCTGGAGGATGTCCCGGAGTCCAATCCAACTAGATTGGGACAATTTGCCCGTTAGTTGCCCACACCGTAAAATCCTTGGTTATCACTTGACCCGCCGTCCAGTAGTCCACAGCTGATCAACAATTAAATTCCATTTAAATAATTCAAACTTCTTTTATTTAAAAATTTGCTAGTCTATGTGTCACCTGATCCGTAACTGTCAAGTTGGGTGGCAATCCAATCGGCTTCTTCCTTCGTATTAAAACTCAACAGGTCACCGTTTAACTGTTCTGAACAATCCGTCCTGGCAGTGGCTCATTCCGCCTTAAAATTAATAAACCGCAATAACATTAGAAGTAGCTCACCCTGGAATAATGATTTGGATATAGCTTTGCACCAATGGAGCAGAATGGGCGATTAAATTGGGCAGAATATGGATTGCATTTTCTATCAAATGTGCAGGATAAGCCGACAAAGAAGATACATAGTTTCGACACAATTTGGTACCAATAGTTGAAAATAAGCGTGGAAAATGTGTACATAATTTTAAGAAAAGTGGAAAATAAACGGGAAAAATTGTTAGATAATTTTACATAGATCTATATTATATATATAAAATTATAGATAATTATAAAATATACCTGCTTCATCCAGGTCCCCCTAAATTAATTAAGAAATCAAGCATGTATTGTTAACTTGGGAATGACGCATACTTAAATTTATAAAACAATTTTCAGAAATTCTTAAGCAGAAAATTTATTCTTAAATTTTTGATAGTCTGTGTAAAAAATTGAATTAAAAAAAATTCTCTATTTATAAAACACCGACCATAATTACCAATGCCAAGGAAATTAAGCTTAATTACGTACCTCAGCCGTGACATAATGTAGTAGGAGGAGCCCAAAAATAAGAAATAGCATCAATTTAAAAAAGTTATCCATATTTTTCTCCTCTTGAATTGGGCGTAGGACAGCAAACGTAGCAGTACTGGCTTGGTCACCTAGTTTGGAATGATAAATCCCAAATGTCAAGTTTATTCTGAAGGTTGATTTTTAATAGGATTAGCAAACACCACCTTTATTATATAATCCTGTAATATATTACTGAGAATTGAGTTTGGGTGTAGATTATGGAGGATTAGGTTCATGTGGATTATGGAAGATTACGTTCCGGTGGATTATGTAGGATTACGTTGCGGGTTTTGTTTGCAGGATCAAGTTCATGGAATGACAATGAGAGTTTTATATCCCATTGAACGTCACAAGTCAATAAAACCTGTTGAAATTTGGACCTACGCACATTACACGTAGCCACCACGTTTGACTAATCCCGCAAACGTTATGGTTACCAAATTAATCCCCTAAACACCTTGTGTTATAATTATGTTTGTATACCAGAGCAATTATAAAATCCTGGCCTAAGAAATTTGGTTACACATGCTAAATTAACCACGTGATTTATTGCCTGCTAATATTTGTTGAGTTGGGCGTCATTCCAATCTGCTTCTTCTCGAGTGATCTGCTTCTTCTCGGGTGTCAAAATATAGCAAGTCGCCACCTAATCGTGCCTCACAATCCGCCCTGGCAGTGGTCCACTCAGCCTTTAAATACATTTTTGTATACGTTCCATGTAAAACTTTATATGAAAAAATTTATATTGATATCTCAATACCGAACTAGTGCTGACAAAATAGTCGAATTCATTGTAATTCGCCAAGACGCCGACCGCTCGGTAGGTGCCAATGTGAATTAATTCTAGACCAAAAGTATCGCATGGAAAAATATTTTAGGAAATTTATCAATTTTTTGGTGGTTTCCTCAATTTGGATAAGTTACCATCATTAGTAGGGGCTGCGGAGGTGCTGGCAAGGGCAAGGCTAAGTAACGCCAACATCATTATGTTATTAAATACGTACATATTAGAACCTTGAATGATTAAAAATTCTTCATCAAACCTTTTCATGTTAGGAATGTTGTCGGAAAGACGGGGATAATTTTATTGAAATTTATTACCCGGATTAACCGGTAAAACAGCTTTCTCATGTAATTTGGGATGATGTGTGTAGGTATTAAAATTATTTTCAGGTTACGGTGGGATTGGATTCCGACATAAGTAGCTTAACAGGGATTTGGGAGTTACGCATAAATATTTTGGCTGGTGTGCAAAAAATTAATATCAGTCGGTCATCTTCAATCACAATTAATAAATTAAAGGCGTGATAAGATAGATGTTATGTTAAATCAAGTTGGGTTTTAGTGTCATAACACTAAAATTCACTGCGCAATTATTTCTATGATTAAGGTCATGTGAATGCCGTCCTTCAGAGGTTACATAATTTGCGTGCCAGTATAATTACGAATACCAGGAATAAAGCTTAAAGCAATCAATATTTGTGAATTCAAGTTCGCATAAATTATTACTTTAAGCCTTTCTGATATTAGTGCATAACACTACTGACACACAAATTGTTTAATCTGTTTCTGAAGCATCATTCCGCTTTTGTATGCTGACTGACCGACATTAACAAACCCGCCATATTATGATAAAAGTTGGTTGCGATAATCTTTTGATCTTTTCAATACAAAGTTATCAAACGGTTTGGAATTGACGTCATTTATATGGTCAGATTCAATTTGGTGGATTGGCTTACATTTATAATTACGGCTTGATCAATTTATCTGATAATTATCTCTCAGAAATGTAAAAAGCTTTGCACATCCTCGCTCCAGAGCTGTATTATTTCAGCAACCGGGCTGAAAACAACCAATTAAGATGAAACTACTTTGGCTATACGTTGCCTTTCTGATCTTCGAAAGCAGCTTGGGGCAGAATGAAATCAGCGATTTTATTACTTCAACTGCTACCTGTACACCTGGTAAGATTTCCTCGCTTTACGTTACAGAATTTTTAAGAATTTTTTTAAACAAATACTTTTACAAATACTTACAAATAAGGTTTTTTAAAGAAATACTTATATAACTCTTATTTTGAATCTCTTAGACAATTGTGTGAATAACTATGTTCGAGGAAAAATTTACGAATTTCAGCGATGGATTATTGACGAGGAGGGAGATGAGCCCCTGTATTTTCCGGAAGAACGGACTCAAAATGTTCGAACAATGTTTTCTGACACCAATATCACGTACAGGTTAGTCATAATGGGTATGAGTATAATTCGCGATTACCAGACTGGGGATATGTATTTGTAACTTTTTCATTCCAAATCAGATCGTACTAAAACTTCATATACCGATATCGCATCTTAGCGTGATTTAAAAAACCTAAACAAAAATTTAAACATTTTTCCATATTTTAGTTTTTGTATATATACATATTTTCTAACATATTTTAAGTTGTTTTTGTACTTTATACTTTTGGATTTTATACTTGTCTCAAATTGACCAACCTTAAAATTGTGTACGGATTTGTTCCTAGATAACTGCATTGATACATTCTATAGAATGGAGTTGCAAAACCTAAACTCGTACGCCGTGCAGAACGGGATTGAACAGATTCCACTCCACAGATCATTTTCCAACCGAACGCTCACCACAACTTTCGACTTAGATATCACATACAGGTAAAGAAGATAAGTTTAGGCACAACCACGTTATTCTATAGTAACTCAGGCAATAATTTTATTTTCCATTTTCAGCAATATTACCGTAGACAACTTCTGGAATATTATAGGAAATCCAACAATCGTTAACGATTTGGCTGGTGGGTCGTTCTATTCGTATTTGACGACTGATGTATTACTTTCCGGTAAAATCGGTTCTTAATTACCAGACCTTCATGCATTCGATATAAATCAGTATTTAGAAGTAAGCTCATTCTAACGTTTGTTGAAACAACCAGGAACATTTGTAGCAAATGGAACCATTCTTGGTGTGCCTACGTCTCAATCGGGACGATGGAGCGGAAGGATACGAGCCACTTCATACTACTTCTACCAATATACTCTAACGGGAGATTTTGTTGATCTTCGTTTAAATATTCCTGGTAATGGAGGCACTTCATCACCATCACTCAGCGGGTTCACAGCGGATCTCTTCAACTCTTTGCATCCACTGAAACAACCATTTGACTCGCTTTTGCAGACACAATTGTCAGCTATTTATTTAAATAGTTGGAGACTGGATTTGTTCCCTTACTTGACGGATTTCTTCAACGATAAACTGGGCATTGCTAGTTTTCAGCAGCTAATAACGTCGCAGTTACCTACAACTTCGCCGGCTGTACCGCTACCGACCACTCCTTTACCTCTTATAACGACCACAACACCGTCGCCATTTCAATGTGAAGCGGGTAACAAGCTACATAAATATTGCAACTTTGTAAATAAGATATTGTATATGACGCATTGTTCTCTAGATGGTTGCTTGTTGGATTACGTCAGGTTAAAGTTCAGTAGGTTTCCGGATTGGGTTGACAGCGCAAATCGTGACCCCCTAGAACTTCCTGGGTCCTACAGGGTACAGTTTGCAATTTGGGATATTGATCTGTTTTTGGAATAAGTCTCGAAAAAAATCAAGTCAATCAATTTGAACGGTCAGCTAGCAGAAACTAATATATTTCCAATGTGTTATGATTCCAGGAATATAACTGTGTACGGTTATTTGCCTACATTCTTCAATTCTACAACGTCGATTACCTCTGATTGTTTGAGTGGAACAATTACGATGCAAACTCGTTCCCCAACACTTCGAATACATGGTAGTTAAAAAACATACTTGCATAAATTCATTGAAACTGACGAACATAAACTGCTGTCTACTCCTCTGTTAATTAGTCGGTGCAATGTTTTTTAAAGACGTTTTTATAAACAGTTGCTGCTTATAGAGTGGGAACGATTTTCTAATTTTTTTTACGAAACACAAGATTTCTTGGCTCGCCTTTTTTAATTGATTTTTCTAGAAAATCCGAAAGTTGTTAAAATTCAGGTTTTATAGGCCTCACTTTCACCGTAAATGCGATCGAACGCTTGCGAATAGATCAGATAATGTTAAATGTAATCTTTTATCTGATACTATGTATATGCAGTTTTCAGTTATGCCAACTTGCATCTGAACCTGATCTCAAATTTGCACATCAGATAATTTAGGAATCTGATTATAACTTTTTCTCATACATCTGTTACCTGAACAGATATTTGAGAAATTTTTAGTGAGATATCAGATTTTTACTTATATTAACAGTACTCATACCTGTGCAAGTGAATTTGCCTTCACTCAACTTCACTCATTTTCACCTCGAGCATAGTTGCCCTTCACTCCCCTCACTCGCGTGAAGGAGGGCTGAGTGAGGCTTCACTCACTGACAAATCCCATTCTCATTCCTTCATTCCCTTCACTCCCTCATTCCTCTACAGAGGGGTGGGACAGAAGAAGGAGTCACTTTGCCTAAATTTATTCCGGCCTTATTATTCGTTTGTGAAGTTTGGTAATTGGTTCAGTGTGAAGCCCTTTAGTTTATCTAACGAGCCTCAGTCGCTTTTTCCAACCAGTCATGACCTTTGACACAATTTTCAGAGTGATTCTGCACCACTCGTCCTGAACACTTTTCCAAAGTGCATCAAAACGCACGCGTTTTCCTTTCAAGAAGGCTCTGTTTTAAGTACTCGAATCCAAAAAAAAACATCGGATTGATATCAGAGGAACTAACGAGAGTTTCTATAGTAGGAATAATTGTTATACCCAAACTTTTTTTAAAATCCTTCGTGTAGGCTGATATTTTGTGAGAAATAAGTTGGGATGAGAGCATGATCTCGGGATTTCCTACGAGTCACTTGCTGTAGGTCATTGTGAATGACTCTAGAAATGTTCTACTAACGTTTAACATTTTCGCCATGCAACTTTTAGTTGGTGGATTTACCGTTTTGGCGAAAAATTGATTTTCCGGATAAACTTTTTGGTTCAAGCGGATCTTGGGTATCCTTTCCGTGGGGGTGGAGCTCTAACCGCTTTTTCCCTCCGCTTGATTCCAACGTTTTTAAGTACATTAGAAACGTACTTTCGATCGACGATAAATCCATTTGCAGCAAATTTTCTAACAATCGCTCTCTGGCTCAGTATGTCTTTGGAAAACACTGTTGTGCGTGCCTCGCACTCTGGGGGGTGCTGCAGGGGCATTTTTAACCGTAGGGAAAATCTGAATAGTGCTAAATTTTCGTTAACTATCTGGGTATGACATATGCAAATTTTGAAAATGCCGCGACTGTGCATCACACGCCACCCCTAAAATTCAAGTGGCTCCTTCTTCTGTCCCACCCCTGTAACATCACTCATTCCCCTCACTCAGCTATTTCCCTCACTCTTTATTTCATTCAATTAAATCCCTTCTGTCGTCATAATTTAAACATTTTGGCGCCATCTAGTGGGGCAATGTGAGACTGGGCTGGGGCAATATGAGACTGAGCTGGGGCAATGTGAGACTGAGTTGGGGTAGTGTAACACGAGGCTGGGGCAACGCGAAAATTTCCTGGGGTGAAATAAGACTCGCTATTTTCATACGGCCACGGTAATTTCAGTATGTAAACTAATTATCTACCCTATATTCCTTCGCCCTTCTTCCCCGGAGACGAAGGAGTGAAAAAGATGAAGCCTTCATCTCCTTCACCCTTCATTCCACTCATTTCTCGTCTCAGCCTCCCTCACTCACCTTCACTCACTCGAACAAATTTTTCAACTCCCTCACTCAGCTTCACTCTCCTTCACTCCCTCATCGTGAATGAAGCCTCAATTTCCCTAAATTGAGTGAAGCTGCACAGGTATGACAGTACTCAGATATCTGAACCTATGTTAGATCAGTTTTCAGGTCAGATATCTGTTTCAGGTGGGACGATTATAATCTGATCTGGTCTGATTTTTTAAAACAAAAACTTTATGTTATGAAGAAATGAAGGAGAATATGATACATGTGAAGACGGACATTTGGTTTCCTAGTAACCTGGTTTCACTGCTTAACTACACCTATTGAAAATAGTGTATTTTGATACCAATAGGAAAGTATAACTCAAGAGGGACCCTAGAATAGTATTCTTTAACAGGCAGTGGGGATTGGAGTATGAACATGTCTATCACCTCGAACTTAAACATACTCTATAGAATTGATTCCGAAGGGTTCATCTCTGAGATTCAAGGCAGATTTGATACACGGCTGAACTCTAGGAGTGGAGTAATTTTTGAAAATTTCATTGACCCAGACGCTTCCCTTGCTAAGTTATTACTGGACGATATAGCTGTACGAGCGTCCACTTTAGTTGCAACCGAAATTCAGACTTTCACCAGGTTCATTACCGACTTTATGGATATCCTCCTGACGGAAATCAAGTTCTACGACATCATTACTTGGCATCGGTACGGAAACACGACCACAGATCCTCCGGTTGTTTGCTCCAGACAAAACTCGAGATCCTCTATTTCTGTAGGCAACTGGTATGTCCCAATTTTCGGTCATGCCCCTCTAACCATTCGGGGCTCGCGACTTGACATTTTGAAAGGTCTTGAATGTCGCTTTGAAGACGTTTCTACCATTGTGGTTCAGGCCACCATTCAAAATTTAAGTACCGCCTCATGTGAAATTCCATACCTGCACCAAACGGGTCGGATCCCTGTTGAAATTGTTCAAGTTTTTCCTTCAGGTTGCGATCAAAATTTTAAAGAAACAATTTTCTCTGCTAAACCTGACGACATTAATACATCCATGGACGCCAAGGTGGCTAACGATGGTAGAGTAGAGTTAATTTGGGACGCCACCTACTTTAAATCTTCTCATTTACAGTTGCATTTGGCAGAATTGTTGGCAGACCAAGGCACCTGGCAATCGCGTGGAATTCTCGTGTCATCTATAGTAAACTCAGGGCAGTATTCCGGCTATCCAGAAAATCCCTCCATTTTGGCCACACTGAAATCCGGATTCGTTCTATTCATATCTCCCCCAACAGAAACCACTGCCATCTACTCGGATGTTCTCTACACAGGTTACGGCAAAACCAAGGAATACTTTATTGAAGTGTGCCAATCCTGGTATGAAACAGATCCCGGCCCACCCACCAACTTAGAACCGTGTCCACCCCTATTTACTCAGGCGTTAGTAGATCCCCGCTTTGAGTACGAGTGGGAACTACAAAATCCTGAGAAGATAGAATTCTACCACTCGGGTGCTCAAAACTCGTTCCGGCAAGTCATCCCAAATTCGAATGGAGCCGGTTCACAATGCACCTACAAAGATGGAACACTCCTAATTGGGGCCCCTGGTGGTGGGTCGGCAGACTATGCCTCTCCTAATAATCGCACGGGGTTCATATCTCACCACATTTGGGACGTATATCCTTGGTACATCTGCTGCGGGTTTAGCCAAGACGCACAATCCTGTCGAAAGTACTATGAGCGACGTCCCTCAGACGATGGGACAGAATACGTGCCCCCTCCACGACCTGGAAATGGAGAAGGTGACCCACATATGACAACCTTTGACGGAGTTTCCTATACTTTCAACGGCGTGGGTGAATTTTTCATGATCAAATCCAACAGCGGTGTCAAAGACCGTGAGTTTCAAATGCAAGCGCGCATGACTCAATTCGTAGATACTGCTAGCGGTCAAGCCCGAAACGCTTCTGCTTTCACATCCTTCGCCTTCCGTGAAATCAACAACAACAACGAACTGCTCATCCAGCTACAAGTTACCAGCGCCGAAGAGGCAGGTCATGGACTTGTCGTCTTGCTCAACCAATCCCTGCTGGAAATTCCACCCGGTTTCAGGTACCAGTCGGGAAAACCATTCGTTTCCGAAACGCAAGTCGATGGTTCTATCTCCGTGTATTTTGACTCGGAAGGAATTATTAGCACCGTATTTGTCAAATTCAGCACTGGATTCAGTTTCAACATAATCTCCACGGGGTTGGGAGCCTTAAGCGTTATGAGTTTCGCAGTAAGTGATTTGTCCGGTCAGGGTTACACTGGCCTGCTAGGCTCATTCGACGGAGTCCCAGAAAATGACTTTACCTCCCCGCTGGCGTCGCGTTACCACTCAATGCATCCTTACAGGAGATCCACAATGAGTTCGGAGTGCAATGGAGAACTACAGCGGCCCAATCCATTTTCACTTATGACTTTGGAAAAACCCACGCCTCATATCAAGATCTCGGGTTCACTCCAAACTTTGACGAACCTAGTCCCGAGGACTTCCCAGAAGCTGGTGAAGTTTGTGGGAATTCAAAGCAATGCCTGTACGACTACGTGTCGACGGGTAGTTTGGATTTCGCCAAAAACACGAAACAATCCCAAGATGACTTTGAAGCGGTTCAGGATACCATCGATGAAATAGTGACAATGTGCGACCCTCTACAAGCACCTAGCGATGGCTGGTTTTCGGTTGACAACTATCTTGCCGGCTCTGTCGCAACTTTCTACTGCAATCCCGGATTTGTCGTAGACGGAAGCCCATCCGTCGTTTGTACTGACGATGGAACATGGGACAAGAGGGCGCCGATCTGTGTAGAAGAACAGGGTAGGCAACACTAAAACTGTGTATTTTTTATAAACTCTATTATGGGGGCTTTGATTCATAAATATTACCCCCCCCCCCATTTCAGGCTTTGACTGTTCGGGCCGGGAGGATGGATATTACGCAGATGTTACAGACTGCCGCAAGTACATAGGATGCATCAGGGAGGCCTTGAGATCATACACGTGCCCATTTCCAATGCTGTTCGACTCTGTGAGGTTCACTTGTGTTCCCGCGAATTCGGCGGTGTGTGCTTAACCCGTTTCCCCACTTATTACATACATATTACTTATTATTACATACGGTGCACGATTTTGTCCAAAGAAAATTATATTATTTTGTTTAAATATTACTTCCACCATTTCAATAATGTCGAAATACAGACCGGTAAACAAAACTTTAATCTTCAAAATCTATTATGTTCGTAATCCAACCCGGTATGTTCAAATTAACAGTGCATCTGCTCTGCTAAATGCAATTATGTGCTTCATTATTTTGCATGCAATTAGATTAATTGATGCAATGAGCCGTAATTTACTTAAATCGGATACATTAATTTAAATACAAATGTCGAATACGTTATTCACAACATCCATACATCACATTCTACATATGTAACAAAATTAGTTTAATTGTATTCAATCAATCGTAACCTAGATTTTATTAATACTAAATTAATTGTTATCTGTAATCAATTATACAATTAACCCGAAAAATATTTTAGCCAAACATTTTTTTCGTACATAACCTGAGATAATAACACTGGAGGAAGTTAGGTTTATTTATCTTAATTTATTTAGGCAATGACTCAAAAAACAATTAGATGTCGTGACAATTTTGGAATTTCCATTTAATAATCGATTTCTCATTTCTTACCTTATAAATATGTCACTCGTAACGGTCATACGCATATAAATTTATCGGGGATCCCGATTTCCGCAGCAATTATAGAATAGTTATAATAATTATGATTACCTTAGGAAAACATCCGGCCTAAATTACTTTCGCATATTGATTTTGGAAATACCATAAATTAGTTTCTCACCTACTTAAAAGACCTTAATTAGCCTGAGTAGGTATTTAAGACGCAATGTTTCCAGTCTATATAAATTAGATTTAAGCAGGGACGTATCCAACATAACCTCACAACCACTCCGCACCGACTTGTTAGAAATATTTATTTTTTTTAAACTGAGTAAAATGTTAACCAAAATCATATTCTTCTTTCTGGTTCAATCAATCTTCACATCGCATGTGGATTCTATGCCGTCTGACAGCGAGGCCGGAAATCTTGAGGTAAATTCCCACCGTCAACCGTAAAAATATTAGAGCCTTGGATAATTTTTATTCCACCAGATTTTTAATTGAAATCACATAACTTGAATTTCCAGTGTTTTAGTTAAATTCAAAAAATTATAATCCTCCCAACTTCTCAAAATTATACATTTTATTCAATTTGAAAAATTAGCTGGTAGATATTTTAGGAAAAAAATTGGTTATTTCATGAAAATCTTTTATAAATCATTTTTGTCATAAAGTGGTATCAAAAAACAGTTATAGGTAGGGGTGGTTCCATCGACCAAAAAGTACTGGAATTTCAAGTTATGGAGATTTCAATATATTTAGTTATGTAATTTCAATTAAAAGTCTAACAAATGAAATGACACCCTTAAGTCCTTTCTCTAATTAAACTCTAATTTTTTCTAGAGGGCACGACTCTACGTTGGGAATGAGTATGTCGAATGTGTCGTTTCATCCGATTGTTTCCCTTGTCGCGTCTGTGTACAGAATGAATGCATGGAGATAGATGACTGTCGATATGACTGAAGTTGATTCCGCTGACCACAATGAATGGCTCACATGGATTCGAAAATACATATATATTTTTAAACGAAGAATTTTTAATGATTTGACATATTTATGCATCTACACAATTCACAAAATTCGCAAATAAAAAATCTGCATTCATGTATCACATTTGAGCTGATTTAATATTTCAATCAATTGTTAATTTTCGTAGTCGGGGTTTTTTTAGCAAACAAAATATGTATGCAATACTTTTTGGTTAATAGGGTAATCATAACCTACTAACGAACATAACAAAAAATCTGTCTATGCGGTCCCCCAGTTAAAAATTACACAATGACAGTTTGTTATGCTTTTTATTTTTTCAAGCATGAAAGACAACACCACTTTCTCTCATTTGCAGAAAGTGCGCAAGTTATTTAATTAACTGGTTATTATTGCATTTGTATGTATCTGTTGCACAACGGTATAGTCATGGACTTCGAAAAATTCATCCTAAGTCTTGGGCATAAATAAATACAATTCATAAATAGATAAGCCTTAATTAAAAGTTATCATCTAGTTTAACCTCAAATGGATCTAATTTAACACTTTGTGTTATCTAACATGTATACATTCTTTGAACCATTTTTCAGTAATTCGCATAGTAGTGATAACAATCTTATTTGAAACATATTAGACCCCCGAGTTTTTCTAAATCCTTTTATATTTGTTAAAATACTGAGGGGAGTGTCCTTCCAGCAGCTCAAGTAAACATCTCACCAATGCCATTTTCTACAATGCCATTTCAAATTGTTCAATGGAGCAGTGCCCACTTCGTCTGCCACACTTTCAGCAGCCATCAAGCTGTAAAATATCCTGAAACCAATCATAACACTTTAAAACTGTCTAGTTTACCCATGGTTAGGGTTTTACATTGTCAACTTGTCATGACATTTTGACATGTCATAAATGTCAGACATTTATTTTTATTGACAATTATGACATTTATGAAAATTTGTCAAATTTGAAATTGTCAACTTTTCTGTCCTCATTGACAATTATGACATTTTCATTTTTTTATCTAATTTTTCCCAAATAAAAAACCATCATAGTTGGTATATTTTGCTTCTCAGCTACACATATTTCCTCTCATATAATTTTTTACTGCGAACGACACTGAAAATATTATATTGACGACTTTCGCTCTTAAAATTGCAACTAATTCTGTTTGTCTCTGCTAATCAGCTTTATTTGGAGCATTTATTTGGAAGAGTTAGCCGATTCCAGACATGTTGCTTCAAATTATGTTGACCTGAAGTCTGTGTTTTCCGGTAGTATAAAATATTGTTCGTTAAACATGAGAGCAATATGAAGCTTAGACCACTGGTAGTCTACAGAGTTTAGATTCATTCACTCGAATCCCAATACATAATTCATCCGGCAGGATATACACGAAGTTGCAGCCAGCTCGGTGCATATTTTCTAAAAGTTTCCAGTTACGACCAACTTGGTAGACTTAACTGCAACTAATTGAGATGTACCAATGCTTACAACGTTTAAACACTTACAGAGTTGTAGCCCGGCAGACTGAATCTTACTCAGCAATCAAATTGAGGGAACTATAGACAAAATTTATGCAGGCGGAAAAGAGGAAATTCCTTTAAAGTTCTTAAATGAACCTCTGAACGGTCGAAATTAAATTTGATATTATACTTAGGTACATATAAATCCGCATGGACCGCGATAAAACAAGAACATTTGTTGACTGGTTCAATTGCAATGAGAGAAAGAAGATTTATAATAGCTGCTACCAAGATTGCCAGGTCACGGGGCACATTGAGATTGACATTTATGACAAATGTCATAAATGTCCGTCATATTTGTCATAAATGTCATACATTTTGAAGCTGTGACATTTATGACAAAAAATTGACAAATTGACATGACATGACATTTATTCCGTTGACACTGACAATGTAAAACCCTACCCATGGTGAAATTATTTACGAACAAAATATGCTTACATACCAAGCAAAACATTAATCGTGGTGTCCAGGTGGGTTTGGAAACATGTCGTCAATGAGGATTTCTGATAACAGTAAAACGAACCGACGTACACTCGCAAGGGGTGCAACGATTTGGCAACTTTCTTCTCGAACCTAGTCCCATACTGGGTAACAGTCTGTCACAGAAAAAAAACTAACAATGGAACCTTCTTTCAAGCTATACAGGGATTGTGAAACGAGTTAAATATATCAAAAATCAAGCCAAAAATTAGGAGTCACATGACACTTATCATTCCGTTGAATGGCCCCTTTGAATACAAATATTGGCGGTCAGAGTTCGCACTCCTCCCTGGTTTTAGCCCCGTGGAGGAAAAAGGAAGAGAAAATTTGTCTAAAAATTGAAGTTAACTGCCAATATTTTTCTTCAAAAAGGACATTCAACGGAAAGATAAGTGTCACGTGGCTCCTAATTTTTGGCTTGATTTTTTGACATAACTCGCTAGTCGATCCCGGTCTAGCTTAAAAAAAGCTTCCGTTGTAAGATATTATACATATTTAAAACATCTACAAACTTTTTTGAACTGGGCCGAAATGTCATTCATTTCAGCCCCGGATTTGATACATCTTCCCTGAAATATCACTAAGATTCCAATCACTGCTTCCATCATGAGGAATAAACTCGGCTGGACGCTGCTCAGAAATCGGAAAACCATCACGTGACAACAGACCTGACCGGCTAGCAAGACATACTCGATGATTGGCCATAAAAAAGGAGCAGCTGTCTCGTTCTGGAGAATGTTAAGGATTTTGAGGGACGAAAACAATTCTAATCGCTGTGTGATTGGTAGGGTTTGAGAGGAAAGTTTCCTAAAAAACCAAAACCTAGGTTAGCCATGTTTTTAACCTCATTTAGACCAAATACATACGTCGTATCACGTATTTGAAAAAAATTCAGATTTTTCAAAATTTCCCAAAATGCGAGTGTTTCGCTGGCATCTTGTGGTAAACTGTGGAGTTTTTATCGATTTTTTTCTTCACAAATTATGGAATTTTCCCCATACCGATCAATGTTAATCCCTTTAACGTGTATGATTGACGACAAGAAAATGCATTAAATGGGGGACACTATAAGTATGTTGTGTTCATGGCGCGGGAGGAGAAATTCAGGAGTTTTTAATAAAACTCGAAAAACTGAAAAATCAAAAATTTAACATTGAGTTGTATAGGGAAATATCCAAATTTTTGGGAAGAAAATCTTCAAATTTAGCATTGTGTTGGCATAGGAGAAATCCCTCAAAATTTCAACAAATTTTAGGTCGCGGAGAGAAAATGGTGAAAATCAATGACCTCCTAGACACGACAATTGTCGTCCTTCCGCGTCATGACCACGATTTTTTAGGACGACTTTTGTCGTACACCCGAATTAAACCATTTCTTATAGAACGACATTTGTCGTCGTTAAAGTTTAAAGGGTTAAAATGTGGATTTTTCGTGATTTTCGGCAAAAAAAACTCAAAGTAGGAAACTGGTTTGAAATAAATATTGGACTTTTACAGAAAATCATGGAAATTTAATTGCTTGCTGCAAGATGTAGTTATGAATTCAATATCGTATTCCAGGGAATTTTTTTGTGGGAATTATGGTCTCAGTGAGGTTAATAAATAAATATTGAAGTATTTGAAAAATCTGCTCACCCATTTTCCACAATTGAGAGCCATATCTTATTAATTTGCATGTAACTATAAACCATCGAACCAGCCAGGCCGGCAGCAAGCGAACCGACAAAGTTCAGCCTCAATTCGTACAACAAGAAAAGCACGGCGATCACTGGATTATCATAAATTGAACGAGGTAGTAGCCTTGACCCCCAAAATCGACGTTGATGTCGGTCCCTAATTTGTTGCGGCAGAGTTCCAAGAATTGGATAAGATGAAGACAAGATTGCTGCGATGTAGAGGAAACGGGACAAGGCTTTATAGTCTGGTGAGAAGCGTGACCCACTAAGCTTTTCTAGAATTTTGGATGGAATACAGAAATTGAAAACTCAATTGCTTACAATGAGGTGTGAGGTGGTTATCATCGATCGAATTGTTCACACTCGAAAATAAGTGCACCGGTATTTTAGCGTTTTTCTCAATGGGCATGTTCTCGCACTTGGCGGAATTTAAAAAAGTCAGATAAACTCAAAATAGTTTAACTTTTCGAATTTTAACACGATTTCAAAAATTAAACCCAATTTCTGTCCATTTTTCAAATTTGTAACAATGTGATATTTTCATGCTACTTCTGAATTTGTGGAAGCCCAAAAAACTATAATTTTTTGAAAATTAAAAATTGATTTTTATATTTTCAAAGATGTAATTCTAAACACAAATTGGGTTTAATTTTTGAAGTCGGGTTAACATTCGAAAAGTTACAACATTTTTAATAATCCTGATTTTGGCTGAATTTTTTTTAAAATTCCGCCAGGGGCGTAAACATGCCGATTCAGGAACACGCAAAAATACGGGTCCAGTTCTAGTCTCGATCGGTGATAACCACCTCACACCTCCTCATTGTTAACAAATATTTTACTTTTCAAGTTTTCATCCAGTTTGACCACACTGTTGAAAAACATGCACCACTGTTCTCTTCTTAAGAACAGTTCCCAAGAAACTAGACACGTTCCTCCCCGACCCACAAAGTTGGCCAGTTCGAGAATAAGGTCGCGGAGAGAACCTTCGTTCGCCGGACGAGAATAAATTGTCCAAGCTCTGTAAGTACAATCGAGAGAAGTGACGAGTATCGTGAGGAAAATGAAAAGTAGTGAAGTCAAATTTTTCACACGCTAAAACGAGAAATTGAACCTTTTTAAAACCAAATTCAACACTAAAATTAAAAAAATTCATACCAGAACCTCTCCGTCAAGTATGAGTGGCACGGATTTTAAAGCATTGCCGCGTTTCAGCAGCTGCTGGAAACTGTCAATCCAAGTGATTGAAGATTTTTTATTAAGTATTCGTATGACAGGAGCAATTTTATTGGCGAAATACATGTTAACCTAACTGATTTATGTATTTACTCAAACGAGAAATGATTCACGTTAAAAACCAATTAATTTCTAAGAATAGACAAAGTATTTGTTATATTCGAACTATGAAAACTGGAGAATGTGTAAATAGATTTGAATTTAAGCATAAGACCTGGGAATTTGCAATTTTATGTAATTGTCCAATTTTATAGGGAATAATTGTTTACTTCCGTTTAATATGGAAAAAGTACTGTAATTACCAGTACATAGTTACAGTGAATGCTGAACAGGTATTAGTTGAGCGGAGAAATCCAGAACTCAAAATTCTATATCGCAAATGAGCTAAGCATATTCTACAAAACTTTTCGCACAAGGTTTGGAAAGGACCATTGGGGTAAACTATTGAGTAGAGCGAGTTGCCACCAGAAGTATCAAGCAACTCAAGAGAGTCGTTCTCGTAAATTGTTAAGTTAAAAGTTACAAGGTCCTAAGCATACGCATACGCGGCTATTTTGGTATTCGAGTACCATGTTGAGACAATATTCAGTCTGAAGTTTAAATTCTCTCGTCCACATTTCTTCGCGTTTACATGTTGGTTGAATCCACTCAATGGAAAAGACCATCGGCTACGGCTGAAATACTGACGTGGAAAAATTTAGACTAGTACCACGGGAAAAATTTACTTTTACCAAAGCTGGCTAAAATCTTACACAACTGGCGATACAAACCCAATGAAATTACTGAAATCGTAAATGGGAATAGTAAGGAAATTACTAGTACTGGAGGAAGATCTTATCATGTTTTTTCAAGAAATTTGAGTCACATCAACTTATTCCGGTGTTCATGTACTTAAAACCAGAAACCAAATAAAACCCTGGGTCGACATTTCCTTCCCTGATCATGAACTTATGTAAATGTTTTTGTGGAAAATTTTATCTCGATATACCTCATTTCTTATTTATGCTGAGAAACCCGACAAAAGTTTACCGTGTTTGGTAACCTCATTTATTCTAAATTCATTCAAACTTCCAACATTTTACAATAATATGGTCTACTTATTAGGGTTGCCGCGGGTAGAAAAAAATTTTACCCGTACCCGACCCGCTACCCGTTACCCACTGCAAAAATGAAGCAAGCAATAAACAAATTTTCTGAAAATTACGATTTTTTAAAATAATTTGAGATAAGATAGTACCCTAATCTAATTGTCCAAATGTTAGGTGTTTAATTATTTTTACTGAACAGGTTCTTCGTATTTTGTGTCCCCTATTCTTAAGCTTATAACTTCAGCAGTAATTCTAAACTGCAATTATAGCTATCGTTATTAGAAATTAGATTGTATGTATTAGAGGTGAGTCGAGCAGCGATTCTCAAAACCTCGGCTCGCTCAAGCTCGGTTACCAAAAAGCTCGAGAAAGCTCGGCTCGCTCAAGCTCGACTCAGGAAAAGCTCGAGAAAGCTAGGCTCGCTCGAGCTCGACTCGAAAAAAGCTCGGCTCACTCGAGCTCGACTCGAAAAAAGCTCGGCTCGCTCAAGCTCGACTCAGGAAAAGCTCGAAAAAGCTCGGCTCGCTCAAGCTCGGTTCAGAAAAAGGCTCGGCTCGCTCAAGCTCAGTTGAGCCGAGCTGTGCCCGAGCAAGTTCGGCTCAACTGAGCATTTGGCTCACCTCTAGTATACAGAAATTTGGTATTCATGTACATACTTGAGAAACAACAACAAACACAAAACAAAAACCACATAAAAAAGTTAAACGCAACTACCCGCCTTATTAACTCTCACTACCCGCTGGATACTGGTTCCCGCAAAATCGGACGGGTAGATAGATAAGAGGTCCCCGGCCCGCTACCCGCGGCAACCTTAACTACTTATAAAATAATCTTTCATTATTAGACTGGCATATTATACAATAAAGCGTCCGCATTATTATTTTCTAATCAATTTATCTCAAGCAGCTATTGATTGGTGAAGTTATTTATTATTAAAACCCAGCTTAAAGGAAAAGAGTATATTTAATCCTTAAAATGTTTGTCTAACAAAATTAATTTGAATTAGTTGAGACGGACATTGTGGGTTGACTTTTTTTAAACAATTTATTATCCCAATATTTCAGCAACTAACTATTGTTTTCTTCAAGGGAGAATAAATATAGAGAAGCAAAAAATATTTTTTTGGTACATATCAGTAAAAGATTATGACAGTAATAATATTAAATGTGTTGTTTACTTCTTTACTTACAGTAAATGTAATAAAACAAAATTAAGTTTAACTTACATAAACCTTTAAAACTAAATTTGTTAGATTTTTCTATTTTTATTTTCGACGTTTCAAGTTTTTGAAAATAATATTTTCAAAAACTTGAAAACTTCAAAATCAACTCGTATTTATTTTGAAAATAAATATGAAAGAGTTATTTAATATATTTTTCTATGACTCGCTACTAGATGATCGGTATTCCTACCCGTCCGTCGTGCTGGTTAGACCAATTTGTTAGAAATAGAGACCAGAGCTTTTGAATTAGCCACATTTCTAATTAATTGTATAGTTCATTGTATTTGATAATCAAAAGGAACATATTTTGTCTATCTAATTAATTACTAATTAGTGATTAAACTCAGGTTGCTAATTAAGCCAATTAATTAGCTAATTAATTTAAGCGCTCCAGAGTATTAATTATGTATGGAGTACATTAATTTTAATTAATTCTGATGAATCAATGCGTCACTTTTATTTCGCTAAATGTGATTTTACTGAACTTCCAATATATGATTCCTATGTAGACCTGTATGTACACATTTGTCTCCGCATTATGTACTCACACTGGTTAACATATATGGATACATACATATGCAAAGTGTGTGCATTTGCTTATCAACATACATAACCCATGTCGTTCTTATCACGTTTATGTATATCCTTCCCTGGTTAGAAAGACCTTGCATATTGGTTGACTTGTCAGCTGGTTATAATTCTCTCTATAGATAATTGTGCATTACAATTATTTTAGTTTCGTAAAACAAAATTTTCCGTTTTCGAATCGGATAATGGCTAATACAGAAATTTCGGCACAAGTTAAACCCTCGTTCACCTCTTTAAGAGATGAATTAATTTCTTACCAATACTTAGGCAGTGGTTCTTTCGGCACCACGTTTAAAGTGATTTTACCCCATGAGGAATCCTTCGCGGTGAAACAAGTTTGCGTGGAAGATTACAAAAAGTTATTTCAACATGAGGCAAACCCAATGAAAAAAATCCTGCGGGAAATTACCATCCTGGAAAAGCTGTCTGGTGGTGGTGGGTGTAACTTTGTTTTGAAATACTACTCACACTGGCTTGAAGGGCCGGATAAGGATGATTTCGATAAGCTCAACTCGATCGAAGACTACTCATCATCCGGACCCAGAAAGAATTGGCTTTTTATCAAAACGGAATTCTGTAATGGAGGAGATTTAATGGAGTAAGGAACTAATACATACATAAATATGTGCATGAGAGCTTTTTAATTAGCCACATTTCAAAGTAATTAGTAATTGATAAGTAGAAGGATAATTAGAAATTGTCGAATTGATTGCTAATTAAACTCAGGTTGCTAATTAATTTGAACGTGGATCAATAAATTAGTGATTTTCGAATTAATTATTAATTAAAATTAGCTTCGGTAGTACAAGTTAACTTTAATTCGTAATTAATAATTACTTCAAACATGCTACTTAATTGGAAAATTAATTAGAAAGCCCTGATGTACATACATAAATGTCCGTAGATTACGTCTTGGATAAGTGGGGTACTTCGAAAATTAATTTTGCGCTGTACTAGAGGTTTGGGTGATATGTGCTAAAAAGTAGCGTTCTTTACATATTTATATATTAATGTCGTGTTATAATTTTTTCTTAACTAACTTCTAGCTGGATGGACAAGAATAATTCTCCATATTCCCGACTTATTCGGCAGGTTAGGACTTTTATTCACCAACTTTTGGAAGCTTTGACGTTCATTCACGGACAAAAAATAGTCCACCGGGATATAAAACCTGCCAACATCTTTCTTAAGAAGATGGAAGTCTCGAGAAATCTTGACCTAGTTTTGGGAGATTTTGGTTTAGGCCGCGAACTAAAAGAAGGTGCGAACAAGTGCACGACCGTCAGCGTGGGGGGCGAAACGGTACCGCAGTCCAGAGATGGTCCAAGGGGCAGGGGAGCTACAATGAGAAAACTGACGTTTTTTCGGTTGCCGTTGTCTTTATTGAGCTAATTCTTCCCGGAGGAAGTATCGATGGGATGACAAACATTAAGGCGGAGGTTAGAGAAAATAAGTTATCTATGTTATACTTTCCAAAATAATCCAAAAGTCCGTCCCATTAAATTTTCCGTGGCATTTCTGATTGGCTGCCGAAATTTTGAGTCAACCAATCAGGCAAGGGATACGAATTATGATTCTGGTTATGATTAGATTATGACTATAATCATGATTACCATTATAATCTAAAAAAAATCGTTAGCAACACGATCAAAAATTCGCTTAAAAAAATTCCACAACAACGTTTAAAAAATTCCTTAGCAACATTTTAAAAAATCACTAGAAATGTTAAAAAAAGTCCTTATAACATTGACAAAATGTGATATGTGGCCCGTCTTTAAGACGGGCTTATGGGCTAGTTCTAATATATTTATAAATATACTAAACAGTTCGAATTTGTGTATAGGTCCTTGACCTTTTGCAACAACCAAATAACGGGCTGATATTCTCAAAATTGTATGCCGACCAGTACCCCTTGGAATTAAAACTTTGCCAAAAAATGGCCGAGTACTACCATGAAAAGAGATATAGCTCTGGACAAGCCCTGGATCGGTTTCTTGATAGAGGTGAGATTTTACGTAAATTTGATACATTCAAAGTTAAATATCTTCTTTAAAGGCTTTGAAGAAGATACATATTTTCTGAGAAAAAAATATTTTCTTAAATCACCTTTGGAGATAATCAAATAAATTTGAATGCGAAAAGAATTTGCAAAATCTGCAACTTTAAGAGTTATCACGTCTTCGTAGTATCTTACACTGATAAATTTCAGAAATAATTCATAAATTTAAAATAGCTATGAATGGTTTTTAATATCAACGCTTAATATGAAAGTTTATATTTTTTACGAATTCAAAAAAAGCGAAGGTGGTCAAAACCCACAATTTTGTTGGTAATGCCATGATGAATTCCTGCATTATTTTATTTGATAATTAACATGATTTATTTACATTTTAGAAATGTTTATGCAAGAATTGGAGACGGAAAAAAAATTTGAAGCAATGGTTCGATACAACGTTCCGTTCCCTCGCTGGAAATTTTTTGGTCCGGATGCCGAACTAAAGATGCTGGAGGACGGTTTAACTCTGTAAAATTTCCACTCAATTTGGATCGACGGAATAATCGGTTCAGGAAAAACCGAGCTTGTGTCTACCTTCTTAAGTAGAAATCTGGCTCACGCCTTTTGGTTAGTTGGAGATGTGGTGGAAGCAATTAAGGAATATTTAAAGGATGAGATGGAAAACGGGGTTGAGAATTATTTTGACAAATTCGGAGAAAAGTTAAAAAGTGTAGGTTTGATAATTTTTTATAAGCTTGACTAAAGTAGTTATTAAATATTGTAGGTATTCACGTCTTTGGAAATGTCGCTTCACAACACATCTTCGTAACTTTGCGGTGCTTGCGAAATCGGTGTCGATGACCTACATATTTACAGACATATTTTATATGAACATCCATAAATAGTAATTTAAAAAAATAACTCGTTTGTCGGAGTTAACTAGTTTAAGGTTGCCTAGCAACATTTCTGAAAAAGAGGAGAAATTAAAATTTTGTGGACCAGTATTTTACGACGATAATAGATGCCCTTTTGCTTCGCATGTTTCGTAAAAAAAATAATGAAATCTGATTTGTTGTCGCATCGCAATTTTTAAAACAAAAACACCACAAAGTTTCCAAGCAATCTTTACGGCTTTTAAGAAATTGACATTAATACCTACATTGATTTGTTTAATTTCCAGGAAAATTAAACATTCTTAAAATTTGTGTTTAGGTGAAGAATGTCGAGCCGTCACTCCCTCTAATAATAGTGCTTGAGGACGTTGACGAAGAAAATATATTCGTCTCGATTTCCTCGTTACTGTCAACCTTTGAATTTACCACCTTAATTATTATTTCTCGTTATGGGTATGCATGCATCGAAGAAGAAGTGTCGGACATGAACGAGCCATCCGTTCAAATTAATCTGGATTCACTTAATCCTGAAGCTGCCCTTGAAATGTTGCAAAGTTGTTTAGACCCGTATATCAATGTGCAGGAGAAAGATTACGAAGAAGTTGCAAAACTGGGCGAGATTTCGCCCCAACTTTACCACCATCCCGGTCTAATCAGGGCATTTTGCGACGTATTTAAAGAAACTCAACCCTCACAAAACCCCCTATCCTTGAATTCGTCTGTCAACATGTTACTGCGACAGAAGGAAGATCTTCTTTACTCAAAGGGAAAAGAAAATAGTTTACTCGAAGAATGGGAAAAATTTACATTGAAAGCATTTCAAGCTGAGCCGGAATCCCTTTTTCTCCTTCAAGCCATGTCAGTCTGCTATTCAGCCGAGGATTCGGTCGGACATCAACATCTCCGCGACCTATGCGCCACTCTGGGCGAAGTCGGCCAAGGATACTTCGGCGATCGGAAGGATTTTGGCAGCGATGATTTCTCCGATTCTCTCCACACCTTAATGCAATACGGCCTTATAAAATCGAGTTGCGTCGATATGTACCGGATGAGCGTGCCTGTGTTAAAAATCCATCCACTAGTGCGCCAGCTGGTTACGGAACAGCTGGAAGCTTCTGCACATGGAGAAAACTTCTTAAAACGGATGTTCTCCATTAGAACCATGGAGGGTTTGGAATCTTCAATTGGACCACCAGCCGTACTTTGTGCCGTGTGGGAGTGGTGTCTAACAGCTAAGACGAAAGAATTGAAACAAACGCAAGACTTTAGAGAAACTACTGTCGCCATTGTTAAACGATGTAGCCATTTCCCGCTTTGCCCTTACTCGAAGGAAACCTTAAATAAGCTGGTGCTGACGGAATATATTTTTTTGGACGATATAAAAGAAGCATTTGGACAAGATGACTTGGCCGTCAAGATCCTTCAGTGCCACAGTCTTCTTAGGAAGTTGAGGCAAGATGGCAGTTACCTTAGGCCGAAGCAGGGTTGCTTTGAGAATTTTATTACCTTATGTGAATCCCTTAGGGGAGAGAAATCCCTAAAAGTAAAGGTTTGCAATGAAGCATGTCCTCTTCTGGCCTTGTTTGTTATGCAGTACCCAAAGTTGGCATCACTTGACAAAATTCTGTCCTGGATACTCAAGAGTGGAGCGACCGGTTTCGGTTTGGATTTTGTCATTATCGCGTTCCTCTCTGTGTTTGACCCTCACCGAAATCAAAGCACGGATATGCAACGAAACTTATTAGCAAAATTAGGTGAAGCCATGGAAAACAAGTATATGCAAGTTAAGCGTATGCCAAACAAATATTTCTTCATCATTCAAATATTGGTCCTACTTATGGAAGAAATTGCGAAAACAACTTTAATCAAAAATGAGGATGCTGTAAAGTTTCTAGCCAACTATGGGAAACTATGTCGAATTCTGGAAACACAAAGTTTTAAAGTTGGAATTGCCACGTGTAACTGGCTGATAGATACGGACACGGAGGATAAGGCAATAATGTCTTGGTGGGCAGAGGCGTGTCTGTTATCCTCTCGGAGAGGACTACCTTTCATTGTTAAAGTGCTGCTAAATTTTTTTCGATATGATATAAACGTCTGTAACTCTTTCCTTTTCCACTTTAAGCGCGATTTCAAGAAGGTTTTGTCCATAAAGTTAACTCATGCAGATGCCGCGGATTTAAATGCTAGAGCTGCTCTTGTTCCAAATTTAATGTTGGAATATTTGGACAATCAAGTACAAACTGGGGAACTAGTTTTTGCTAAAAAATCTATTCAAGTCTTTTTAAGTAACCCAGACATACCGATAACTGAAGGGGATCTTGTCTCCAATCTATACGGAATTATGGGGCCTCTTCATAAATTTCGAATCTGAGGCTTTGATAAAACACTTAGTTTCAGAAAGGTTACAGCTTCCTGTCGGTGAACGAGATGTAATATCCCTGATCAAAGGCTCGTTTTTCTGGCTCACACGATCTAGCTTGGCGGAATTGCCAGAAACACTGATTGAGAGCTTGACACAAAAATTGGTAAATACAAAATTAAAAGAATTTCTCCCTCAGCTCGATGGGGAGATCGATACAAATTTTAATTTCCTGTGGCCCCTGCTCTTATTTTCAAAATCGGAATGTCTACACTATCAGAGCGACAATTTCTTCAAGAACTTAGAATTAATTGTCGACTCTTCAAGTGGGGAAGGTTTGAAGCAGATGGTCACCATTTTCTGCAAATACATACATTTTGTGGATCCCAATAACAAGAAAATTTTAAATGCTGCACTTCTCCTGCTTGATTTATTAGTCAGGAAAGAAGTCAAAACTCCAATGGGTGAAGAATATGTTCACCAAATAGTGAAATTTTATGCGAAAACAATGCTCAAAGTGAAATATTTTGGAGTAACCAAACTCACCAAAAAACTTATTCCGCTCGCGTATAAATTCGATTTAGCGCACACTGCTTTGAGCACGGTTTGTGTCGAGATTCTGAAAAAGTTGGGAAACCCCAGGGAGGCTCGAGTCCTTACAAATTTTGGGAGGTTGGCTGAGCCAAAATAGAATTCAGAATTTTTCATTCTTTAACGAAACCGTGACTGTTACATCTTTTCGAGAAGAAATTCTCAGAATTTACAAGACATTTATAAGAATTGGTGTTGGAGAAATTTATCCGATAGAAATGGCCATGGTTTTGTTAGCTCATGCATCTCTTGATAACGATAGTTGGGCTGAATTTGGGAGAAAAGTGCTTTCCCAGGTGTTGATGTATTTCGCAAAAAAAGGGCAGAAAGACAAAATTCTGCAATGTTTCCAAGAAACAGAAATTTGGTCTGGTAAAATTTCAGTAATGATGGAACAAGAATTTAATAAAATACTTGAATCTATATTTCCCGATGAAATGTGGTCGATTAAATCTTTGCAGCAAGAAAAAATAACGCATCTTTTTGCAGGCGTGGGAGAAATTACTGAAATCCAAGAGCATGACTTTTTCTCTATTTAATAAATCAAGTCAAGTACGCTATTATTCCAATGTTGTTTCGTCTTGATAATTATTTACCACTTATTGACCTAAGTACACGTGTGTAAGTGTATTTGTTCATTTTAGTAGGTTTATGTGAGACACACAATCACGTATTATTAATACAGAGCTAAATAATCGATCGGTGCAAATCGGTTGCTTTTGCTTGAATAATTTATAGAATTAAAATTAAGCAACGACAATACATGCAGGGTGGTAATACCGATCGATGATACAAATAAGTACGCTATATGCTCTAAATACATCAAGGTCTAAGTGTCACAATAAACATACCGTGTTACAAACAAAAACTTGATCTTACGTTGTAAACTGTTCTGTCGCCATTATGTTTAATTATCATTTGTCAACACTCCACCAAATTATTGTAACCTACACCCTTTCGCTTTTCTTACCGGATCTAGTAGCATCATTCGGAGAAAAATATGGCTGCATTCTATACATTAGAGTTAGTCCATCTTATAGAAATGAACTCTTGGAGGATTTCTTAATTCGCAAGGCTTCTCATCCCAACAGCAAAAATTCACTGGTTATTTTTAATAATAAGTTTTGGATAGCGGAATCATTTTCAGTTACATACTTGCCTTTAATATCTCAACACAATAGCAACTTAGGAGTGAGTCTTCTCACTAAAAGCTTGGCAACGAAAAATGAGAATGAAATAAATTTTGACGACGAATTAAAATTTGGTGCATTTTTTTCTTCGCTGTATCATCTTTTTGTCCGAATGGATTTCATGTTCGTTTTGGTTCTGCAGGACGACAGGGTACCCAGAGTGCGGTGTTTTACTTGTCAATTGTATCCCATTTCTTTATACCTTACGCTACTCCAAACTAGTGATCTATATTATAATCCCATACACATTGAAGACCTCCCAATTCGGTATATCTACTCGAGACAACTCCAAAAATTCGAACCCATTCCAGACAAGTGTTTCGATTTTCGACATCTCTACGCAGCCCCTCTATTTCCGACAGATATCAACCATAGAGGTTTCCCCGTCACAGTAATGACCCCTGGTGGCTGGGAGCTGGATCCGTGTCAGGTTTTGATGTACGGCATACACGCCCATTACAAATCTAATTACCTACCTACAATTAAATTGTGTGCAAAGTGTGAAGAGGAAGCCGCCTTCATGGCCAGTATTCTGAACCTGACTTTATACCGGGATTTTCTTGATCCCCATATTTCACTGCAATTCCTCATTTCAGTCGATGCAGAGTCTGGAATGGCGGGAAGAATGAGATGGGATAACGAGGTTCAGGCATTTGTTAAATATTGCAGACCGTACAACCGCTTCCAATCCTCGCTGTGGGTTTGGCTTACACCTTTCAACATAAATGTATGGATCGGGATATTCCTAACTTTTGTCGTGATTACGACGTCCACCCGCGAATCTGGCAAAATCATCTCTAAACCTTCTCGCAAGGAAAACATCTCCCGCTACATTACGACCTGGCTTTCGTCGTCATACTTCCTATTTTCCCTATTGTTACGGGAACCAATCCGGAAATTTTCCCGCCGATATGTTACCTTCGTAGGGCTCACTTTGATCATCTCCTGGGCCTATGAGGGCTGCATTACGACAAACATTATCGCACCAGCGAAACCATTTCGGTACGAGAATGTTGGCCAGTTTATAAATTCATCGCAAAAAGTTGTCGTCTTTGCGGCCCGTCTGAACCTGCCAGGTCATATTGATGCATATAATCCCGTGTTCTTCATGGAGTTGAAGAAGTTTGGGGTTTCGGGAGGTAAAGTAATAGAAAAGTTTTTCCACATTATTCGACATATAACTACGAGTTATATTTTCAACTATGGGTTGGGTCAAGGGAAAAATGTGTCCGATATAGGCTACCTAGATAGCCGGATTCGTAGCATTGTTTCGAGTTCCATGGAACGAATGCAAATCGAAATGAATTTGCAAAAAATTGAGGGACAGCATGATGCCTATAAATGCCACCAGTTTCCTTTTGGGCATGTCAAAATGGCGTTTGCAAGTTTCAAATTTGCTCTGGCCAGAAAAGCCATAATTTTGCATAATGTCTTGCTAGAAAGTGGGATTTCCGCTTATTCGGATCGCATCACCGACAACGAGTTTAGGCTTGATTCTGCAAAAATTGAAAGAGAAGCTAAGACCAACGTAGGAAGGGAGAGTTATATTTTATTGAAGCATTTAAGAGCAATATTTGAACTACATGTTACCCTTTTATCTGCATTTATCGTTATTTTTGTGTTCGAGAAGTGGGTTTGTTTCCCAGGAGTATTGGTTTCGTCTAAGCTTCTGGTAATGAGGATGAAATTAGCCCTCACAAAGTCAAGGCAAACCCTGAAAAAATATTTTTGTCGAAGGAAGAAACAAAAACGGTTTCCTAAACGTACAAATATCTCTAGAACATGGTGCGGGGGTTCATAGGGAAACCAATATCGATCGTCATATAAATCAGGTTTCGGAAAACCCCGGGGTTTTTGTAGAAAAACCCAGCCCCGTGGGGGTTTTTGGGGTTTTGTGGGTTTTTGGGTTTTTGTAGATTTTGGGGCAGGTTGAACCAGAATTCCTAAAATTATATATTAGAGAAAAACTAATTTAATATACAAATTCAGCGTGCAATTTTAACCCTTATCGTTGACTTGGACTGTTACGTCGAAAATTCATGTTTAACATGTAAACCTGGAAATATGCAATGATATTTGGAAATTCAAGTCGCACAAGAAAATTCTCAAAATCTCATGATGAATCAGAAAATTTAATTAGCATTGATCTAAGTTGTAGTTTAAGGGATTTTGTTTCAATCAGCCTCAAAATCCTACAAAAATCCCGGAAAAACCCACAAAAATCCGCAAAAACCCCATTAGGGTTTTTCCGGAGATTTGATACCCAAAAAACCCACAAAGACCGGGGTGGCGAACCTTGATATAAATGTACATACCTATTGTGTTTATGTATTTCTTACTGCTATCATGCATCGTGTATAATTAGTGCTTAAATATCCCAAGCGTAGGTTGTGTTGTCGTCGAAATGCTTAGCATTTAAGACTGACGCAAAACGACGCTCTCAATGTTTGAGTAAATTTGTAATATAAAGATGTAGATATTTACGTAGGCATGTAAATATTTTCTTATATTCTTAAACTTGTATTACCTAACAATAATTCATTCATAGTAATGTCATACTACAAATCTATTCCTAGCCTTAATACACTTACTATAAACTATATACTGGAAGTAGGAGTAAATCTTGTGATGAGAAATACAGGAATATTTTAAACTCATATAAGCTAACTATTAGTTATAAGAAGTTAAATCCTATGAAGCAGCAAGACAATGTTATACACAGACCAGTTCAGTTACTAATACTTGCACATGTCAAATGAGGACGCCACAGAGTTTTTGTTCTCTCTTTGTTTTGTTCTCTCTTTACAGCCAATGTATTATTAATATTGCCTCGAATTAAGAATATTCATACCATTTTAAAGAAAACTGCGATTTTTAATGTAACCTTTGATATCAATATTTAATCATTTTCTGCTTCCTTACCTACACGAAGTAAGCGGAAGTATATTTTCGATAAATTTATCTACCTAGGCAGCAGAGTTGGGAACTAATCCGGATTATCCACTGTTAAAGATAGAGGGGATTATGGATTAGGGATTAGGATTGACCATTTAAACACATTATCCGGATTAGTTCCCAACTCTTCTTGGCAGCAAGAACAACAACCTTTTTAAATAGAAAAATAGAATGTTATGCATATGGATCCTCAATGCACAAATCCTAATGAAATTTACACAACATTTGTACATAACATTTTTTAATTTAATTTACAACGCAACTGCCCGATACGACAACATATACTGTTATATTTCTTATTGAAATTGGCTATATATAATAAATATTATATTATACTTCTATAGTCATAATTAAACATTGTAATTAAAACATGAAAAGCTTAAATTTATTAAAATCAAAAATATTTCGCTGCTGGAAAGGATAACAACAAATTCATCGTTGTCATCATAATCACACCAAAATATTCTCTCTTAATGGCTTTATTCACCCCATAAAAACAAAACGATTTAAACCCTCCATAATACCGAATTGTCCTTAACGCTTTGAATTTCCTATGCCAGCATTTCTTTTCTGTTCCACTCAGGTTGGCCGTATTTAGTCCCACCATCCACTTCTTGACGGCCTTAGACGCCTTCTCGTCCACTCCCACCGCTACCGATAGCATTTGTTGAATTACTAACAAACTGGTGAATGCGGACATGGGAAAAATTGAATAAAACAATACAGGCAACCCAACATTTAGGAGACGAACTATACAACAGTTTGACAGAGAATTTAGCACCGCTCCGAGAAACATTAAACCGAATAGGCTGTCGGCATCTTCGTATTGTCCAGAAATCAGTATTACAAAAGGCGTTAGGATATGGTTTTGACGAATTCGCGGATGAATATCTCTGGCGGGGAGTTGAATTTTGAACTGATTTTTTGTAGGCTGCAAGATCATACTCTCAGAAAGATATGTTTAAAATTTTAGGGCGATAGCTTCAGAAATGCCCCCTCCAGTGCCCCCAGAGTTGGAAGGAGCCAAAAAAACACTTTCCAAACTGAATTACTCATATAGCATGATAACCCAAGAGGTCAGAGGTGGATGATTGTTAATATTACACCCTAGATAATCATTGCATGAAATAATAAAAGAATCCACAATGAATTACATAACGTTTGGCCTCCATCGTCGCTGATACTTTTCCATGAAAAGTGATAAATCGGACCGTGCACCGGGAAATTGACCTGCTGACCTTGAAAACGGACAGACTGGGTCAAATGAAGATTAAAGGTTAAAGCTGGAAGTGTCCTAAGTAATATTAAAACAAACAGTCAACATTTTGTATAAACAGTTTTAGAGAAGGACCCGAGTTATTCAGCTGTCGCGGAATCCTAAAAAACTCGAGAACTTATTTGGAAAATTAATGGTAAAATTTTTTCGAAAATAAATTTTAATAATCGTTTTGTGTCCCCTACTGCAGAACTATTTTATCTACAAGGTACAAGTGCCAAAATATTAAAATTATTGCGTTTGGGTTAGTTAAATTATTTCTGAAGTTCGACATCGAAGACGACGGGAACTTTTCCAAAAATTGTATAAGGTCTGATGAAAACTCAGTCCGTGGGGTTTAACCACTTATCAAAATTTTGTCAAAAGTACTTACAGTGCAATATACTATATGTACCTTGGATAAAAACCACGTTAGGGATTTTTATCATCAAAGTCGTAAAATGTGGGGGCCT